CAAAACCAAAAAAAAAAATTAAAAAAAAAAAAAAAAAAAAAAAAAAAAACACAGCCTCAACCTAGGCTGCTTTCCAAACTGCATGCCCACTGTCCGTCCTGGTCACCTCAGCTCACATCTAACCTCACACCCACACCCCACTCGCTCCCAGAGTCCTCAGAGGGAATGGCACCCTGCCAGGTCCGTTCAGAACCAGGGCAGTATCTACACTTACCACTCTTCACCGGTCCTCAGCCTGCGAATTTTAACTCACTTACCCGAGGGCAGCAGGGCCGCTCTTATTCCTTTGCCCTGGGTTGCTGCTGTGGCTTCCCGTTATCTCCCCGTGCCCAGAGAGTGCTTATCTGCCAACTCCCTCCCAGGTACGGGTCAGCTTTTGGAAATGCAGAGTACGGCATGGCTCTCCTCCCTTTAAACCCTTCAGGGTTCCCTCAGTGAGCCCTGGAGCTTGCAAAGCCAAGCTCATATTTCTCAGCGGCTCAGACCCTGTGCGCTGCCCACCCTGTCTTCGTGTTCCACCTTTCCACACACCTGCCTTCTAACCCCACCGAGCAATGGGCAGTTTCTGAAATTTCTTCTTTTAAAGATAATTATTTAATTTTATTCATCATTATCATTTTTTAAATTTTATCACAGAGAAACAGAGAGAGAGAGAGAGGGAAAGTGAGAAAGCAAGGCTCCAGGTCTGGGACTTGAACCACGGTCAGTCTTGTGGAAGTCCAGTGTACTTAACCACCACACCACCTACTGGCTCCAAGTTTCTGAAATTTCTAAATCAGTTCACAGGTCATGCCTTTGACTATCATGCTGCCTCTCAGGAATCCTCCTTATCCCGTGTTTTATGTACTGAAATCTGAGTTTATAATCTGTCAGCCCCAAGTTGTATCTGGTCTGAATATGGATTTGGGGGCTTGGATAATATTAAACCCCAGTAAAGTCAAAGGCCGATATTTAAACTCATGTACAATATTGTAATTTCTGGCTTCTTAGAGACCATAAGAAGATCTGGTAACACGGAGCCATATTAGTTGCTGTAGTTGAGAAGTACCCTCTGATACGGGGAATATGCTACATTTTTCCAGAGTCCCCACCATTCCCTACTGAGCTATGCTCAGCTGCTTTGCTAATATCCGTGAGCTGCCTGAACTCGGAAGGCATCTGCGTGTGAGACCCCTAGATTCACTCTCTCAAGGAGCAAACCTCAACTCACGTCACCTCTCCACAACCATCCCTGACTCTGAAGGTACATCAGGCCCAGGACCTGCGGATGTGGCAGGGGAATGACAGGGCGCTCATTTCTGGCTCCTCCTCTGCCAAGGCTGACAAGATACTTTTTAATCAAGTCAAGCATACCCAGGAGCAGAAACACAGGGACACAGTGTTTTTCTGAGGAATGGTTAGGACCGATGACCCTGGTCAGGCAGATACAGAGCAGGGAACTAACCTGGAGCACAAAGAAGCTTGAAGGAGGGACTGTATGACCCTCAGTATTTTGGCTCACCACTGTTCCTGGCAGCAGGAGTCCTACGGATACAGAACAAGCCAAAAGAAAAATGAACAGGCCCGAGGAGGTCTAAGGACATTAACCTCAGATAAACACAGGGTCTAACCAGGACAAAAGGAGCCCAGTCTGTATGGAACCTCTCTCTGTCTCAGTAAGCCTTGTGCTTAGTTTGTCTCTCTGTCCTTCAATTCTTTGCGGCAGTGGTGGTGGTGGTGGGGGG